TATAACTAGTCTTAGGCGCCTTAGTAGGTATCTTAAGGCTAGGGGTATATAGAGGGTTAGCTATAATAGGGCTACGCTATATTAAATATTAGTATATATTTAGTTATAGATATAGAGATATTATATTTTTTACTTTCTAGATAAAGGTATATTACTTTTAATATAGCTACTAAGCTACTTCTTAGTTAGTTTCTATTAAGTATATATAGAGCTTATATTAAGCTTATATTTTATTTATTCCTAATTACTATTTATATTATATTAAATATCTAGTAGAGGTAAAGATATTATATACTTACTAGCTTACCTATTTACTACTTTATATAATAAGTTATAAAGTAGCTAGGTACTATTAAGCTCTCTTACCTTATACTTAACTTAAACTATAGTAAAAAGGTACTAAGTATTATATTAATATATTTAAAGTAGATAGTAAAATAAATAGTAAATATATAGTATCCTCTAAATATATATATATATAACTTATATAGTAGAACTAAGTTTTATACTTAGTAGTAAAGTGAGGGTTAGTAGCTCTATAAAATATATTAGCTATATATATACTAGAGATATATAAAGGTGAAACTTATATAAGCTCTTTTATCTCTATAGTATATTTACTAATTAAGCTACTTATAAGGCTATAGCTATAAAATATTAACTATATATATACTAAAGGTAGGCTAGTAATATACTTAAGTTCCTAAATAAAGTATATATTATACTACTAGCTAGAATAGATATAAGCTTTTAGAGTACTAAATATTATATTAGTATATATTAAAACTATATAGGGATTAAGTTATACTTCTAGCTAACTACCTATTTATAAGTAGTAGTATTAGTATAGGAGGTATTTTAAACTAGAATTATATTAGTATATATATAATATATATAGTTAAAAGGGATATATACTTACTCTATAGTAATACTAGTAGATATAATAATAGAACTATATCTTATTAGGCTAGGTTATATATATACTAAGTATATAGGGGATATATAATAAGTATACTACTAAAGTACTAACTATACTACTTATTAGAACTAAGGTTAATAATAATAAGGTACTTAGAATTAAGTTAGTATATATTATAGATTAATTAAGGGGGAGGTAGAAGACTTATATATAACCTATAACTTAGGATAGTTTAATATTATAGTTAGGTATAGTTATATTTATAGTTAGTATATACTGAGATTAGCTTAGAAAATTACTTAATTTACTAGTATTATACTCCTTTATTATATTAATAGGTAAAATTAAGATTAAGTTAGTACTATATATATATAGAGTATTAGTTTACTTATTATTAGGACCTTCCTAGTTTTAGTTTAGGTTAATAATAGGACTTATTTTAAGTTAGTTTTAGTATATTTTAAGTATAATATAAGTATATACTAAATATATTATAAAAATAGCTATAATAAAGGTATAAATTATAAGACCTATTAACCCCCTTATTTATAAAGTCCTTATAAGTAGGTATAATCTATTTTAAAACTTAATATATACTTAATTCCTACTTAGGATAGTATATATATATAATATTCTTCTAAATAGTATATCTTAGGGAAAGAAAAAAAAAGTTAATATATAGGTATAGAAATTTAGTATATATTAAACTATAACTGAGGTAGGCTTAGTTATATATAAAGCTACTTCTAGGTATATACTTTAGTTAAGTGAGGCTAGTATAGCTACTATACCTTAAATAATATATATTTATTTTTTATAGGATTATATTAATTATTATATAGGGCTAGATAAGTATATATAATGCAGCTTTTTAGTTTTTCCGGCCGCGCTACACCCCCCTAGCTACTTTTTAGATACCCTAGTGTGCACAAATCCGAGAGTAACGCTCACAGACATGTCAAATGCTAGACCATCAAACCATTTGCCGGCGGAGAGAAGTCTCCGACGCCGACACAGCAACCTTATTTCCACAGAAGGTTTGACATAGTGGGCCTCTCTCAATAGCCGTCGCGATGAATCAGAGATACCTAGCAAAGCCAGGCCTGTAGAACGGATCGTTTCACCCTTGGTATTGAGTGAAGTTTGAACTCCATAAAATGATCTAATTGAACGGGACAGTCGCCTCGGCTTTGTTTACAGACATTAAGTGTAACCTCAGCAGCCCTAAGAGCGTCGCGACGCCGATGACATTGCGTGCGACCCAAGCGTTGGCCGCAGACCTTCTCTCTGACGTAAAAGCAGAACAATTTCTTCCTAAGCTCATAAATGTAAGTTAAATATTTCATCAGCGAGCCCGCGCCCCAGATACAAAGGAGGTGTTGGGCGGCTGGCCCCGACATGCACAACCAAGAGCCGCGCGATCCGCGGCAAAGGTGGCGAGGATCCGTCAAACAATTCGCAAAAAAAACAAAGTTTTGAAGCTTATCAATTAACTATTGTAAGCGGTTGTCCACTTCTGTTCGTTGAGACAATAATCCCAGGTTGAATGACGTAGATCGTAGGCGCGTAGGCTGACGACTTATAGTCAAGAAAGCGGGAGCATACCAATCCAAGTGTCTCATGACATTAGTTACATGATTTTCACAAGAAACATAAAATTCATCTGAATCTTCTCATATTACATCGGTGAGCTGGATAAGGGAAAGTGTTGTTGGGTTTCGATATCGGCCTAGGCAGGGGGAGAGCAAGCACTGCACTTGATCGCGATGCCCTGAACTCACTTCATTAGCTGCTGTATGAAAGTGTATAGATGGTATACTCAAGAATGGCACTCACCAAGTCCTTTCCCATATTATCGGTGCAGTTCATGGGGAGTGGAAAGTACTGCTGGATCGCCCATAGAGATGTGACGGGAGAGTAGTTGAAAAGAATACGTTCACGAGGGGTCTCGTCGCGGTAAAGTTGGATGATGTCTGCATCACCATCCCGTCAGAATATCTCCATGATAGGTGGCTTTGTAAGTCCTTACCCATGAACCGGCGAGTGATGTTTGGGGATGGGCTTCCTCGAATGCCGAATCCAACGCCGACTGCTGTCCAGTCGACACCCTTCAACTCCGATGAGAGGAAGTCTAGGCTATCTTCAGGCCCGAAGAGAACGGCTAAACACGTAAAATTAATAAAGTTCCAACTGATTCTCACTGAAATATCCCACCCTTGATGTTATAGCCCGCCTTCACAATCGCTGCCATGTCTTGCCGGATACCAGCCTCGACCTGTTGTGGGGTAAACCCGCTAGCTGCTATAGCAGGGTGGTTCCATGGCAAACCCGCGAACACGAAGTTGTATTTGCCGCAGGCTGGCGAGCAATTTCCCTTGACAGGAGCACAACGTGAGCCAGATCGGAAGTGGTCTTCAGGAGCAGCATCTGAAGCGGTCGGTGAAGCCGCGGCAAAGGCTGCGAGTCCAAGCATGACAATTCTCAAAAGCCTGACCATTCTGCTTGACTCAGGGAAAGAGTGCACGTAATGATAGTCGAGAAAAGGTACAGAGAGATTCAATACCAGTAAGCATAGAAGCAGAATCAAGTCAGGCGTAGAGGTCTGCATTTCGTCCTCTAAAAGGGTGGTTCAGGTCTTTTAGCTTTCGAAGCTGAAGCCTCACTTTCAAACTCTTTCCAGGGAGACAAGCAGCTAGGCGCAGAAAAGTGTCCATGCCCCGTCAGCCGCGGCAAGCAGCTGAGTTCAGTTGACTTAGAACCCCGCACTAGTCCATCCACACTTCAAAGCAAATTTCCTGTTTCCATTTATGGAAGCGAGTTCATGGGTGTCTCCGTTGGAGAACGGAAATATGAGAGTGGATTATGTACGCTTGGCTAGGGTATGGAATGGCACGGATGAGTCCTTGCTCCCATATATGTGACAGAATGCTGGGGATCATGTAAGCCGGCTGAGGCATTTGAGGGATGTTTGTGATTTTCGTCAAAGATGATGACACTCCCGAGGAAATTCCAGAGAGAACCAGAAACCCGGTTCAGATCGGTAACATTAGTGCACAGAATCCCAAATATGTTCAGACGCCACCAAGGGATGTTAATTTCACTCGTGGCTCTCAAAGAGGAAATGACTTGTACTGTGGGACATCCAAAACGGTCTGTGTGACAACTAACTCTCGCCGAGAGAGCTCCCCCATCTTACTGCTGACGACAGTCTGAGCGGCCAAAAAAGCTTCTCGAACTTAAGATTTTCCCACGAGGCAATGTAGCGCATTATTTTGACCAGAAAAAAGCCTGCTTCCAGCGTGAAGGATAAGATGGGAAGAAGGGAAAGGTGCTCAGATCATCCTTCACCAGCTTCTTAGCCTCGACGAACAACCTTAGTTGGGATTGAAGGGGTGTAAAATCTTCTTGGCTACCTTGCGGCTGAGAGCGCCACCATCACCGGAGTATTCAACATTTACGGGTTTGTGTCACTGGAGCCGAACGCCCCTGCAAAATACTGAACGGCAGCTTAGGGTGCCATGGTCTACCATCATATGCATGGCTATTCACCAGTTCTCACCCCCAGCGATGCCCAGAAGTACGTGTCTATCGATTGGCCAGTCTCTTTGGGTGACTCAGGCTTGCGAAAATATCTTTACGAAGACATCATTCTGCAGAACGGCGTCACGTTTACCTATGCCCTGACGTCAGCGGACGGATTAGATGTGTCGCCTGGAGCACACCGCATGAAGCCCTCATAGCAGGCCAATTTCATTGACCCCAACCTACAATTTTTCATCTTTGAAGATCTGATTGATGGCGAGCGCTACATCTTGGAAAGGCACTCGGGAAGCCCAGAACGGTCTAACCTTTTTGCCAGGCCAACGATCGCGCCTCTGTAGAGGGACTCACCAAATGCACTTGGAGTAAGTATGAGCATTTGTCGCAAAGGTCCAGAGTCTTTTACCCGCATCTTTCTCATTCAAATCAGTTGTTACGCAAAGTATGACCAGATAAGACTGGACACTAAACATGCAAATATACTATCTGCTTAGACCTCTTGACCGAACTGGAGGTGACATTGGTTTTGTGAGCAAACTGCTCAGACCCTGTGTACAGAGTTGCCGCTTTGCTGAGCCTGGCACTCACCACCATGCTGAAGCTCATTCTTAACTGAAGCACTTTCCATGTCGATGCGCTTGTTTTGAATGTCCTCTTGGAAGCCAAAAAGGTGATTCATAGCTTCCAAAGAAAGGCCTTTGGTTTCGGGGACGAAGAACCATACGAAAGCCGTCATGACGAGACACCAGCCGCAGAAGAAAATGTAGGTGCCAAACCCACCAGTGCCCATGGTTTCCAGCATCGGAGGAACCGCGCGCGAGACGACAAAGTTGAAGAGCCATTGTGTTGCCGCGGCAAAGGAGACGTTTGTAGCACGGAGGCGAGTGGTCGCAATCTCGGACACATAAATCCAACAGCAAGGGCCCCAACCGAATTGAAACATGCATGCGAACAGGAAAACGCATACAAGAGCAACATACCCAGCAGGTGTAACCTGGCCCCCCTCTTGATCCTGTGGCTTTGCCACAGCGACGAAAACACCGACGTATAGCATGGTGAGTGCTTGGCCAATGCCTGTCCAAAGCAGAGACTTGCGACGTCCCAGTGAGTCGGCGACGAAGATGAGGAAAACCAGTACCGCAATCAGCTTCACAAGGCCATAGATGCCGGTTGCAAAGAGTTCGTTCTCCGTACCCTCAACTCCCAGGGTAGCAAATATTTGCGGAGCATCTGCTATGGGTGTCAGCAAAGATAATGAAGCAAAAGACAAAGGTTGACATAGACTGACAGTAATTTATGGCATTTGTGCCTTCATTCAATACGCTTTAGCTTATCATTCTAGACGGGATGCGTGTGTGTGTGACAAACCTGTCATCTGTTGAAAAAACATGAGAAGAATAGAGATGATAGCGCGCTTCCTGTTTGCAGGTACCAGCCACATTTCTTTTTGCAGACTCATGAAGCTCATCCCATCGAGTATCGCGTTCTCATCCTCAATTGAAGACTTTATGTCAGCGAACTCTGCTGCCACGTACGGGTGATCTGGAGGCAGATCACGGATCCTGGACAGCACGTTGATGGCCTCTTCCCATTTATCCTGCTTGGCCAAATGGCGTGGTGACTCGTTGCACAGGAACATCGAAATCATAAGCAAGACCGGCGGAACCCCTTGGATGACAAGAGGAATCATGTACCTGGCAGTACCCGTAACATGCTGAATGCAACCGTAACTAGACACAGTCAATCGGTTTTCTCATCGGATAGACATGGTACTCACTTGATCCAGTAAGCCAGGAAAATGCCAAACACTATGAAGAGCTGATAGATGCCAGTCAAACCCCCTCGAATAGCGCGCGGTGCATTCTCGGCAACATAAAGAGGATTCACCATCGAAGCAAATCCAGTACCAAACCCGGACACGAATCTGTTCATATTCTTCAGTGCACTGTCTTGGTGATTCACTGTTGCCGAATGGATGGGAGGGGCTTCCTACCTTCCTACGTACATGGCCGCGAGATGACCTGAAGCAGCAGCTTGGAGAATGACGCCTATCACGGATATCCCACCAGCCGCCCAGATAAGAACAGGTCGACGGCCGAACCTATCAGCGGCTTGGGCCGCGAGGAGGGCGCCAACGAAACAGCCTGCCTGGAGAGTAGAGACAATATTCGCACTGAGATTCGACCGTTCAAGGTCTGTCTTTTCGACAAGATCATAGAGTCTAATCGTTCATTGAACGTGAAAGATCAGCAGATGCAATGACAGGCACTGGATGTGGCTTACTGGCGAAATTGTTCCATACGAAGAACACCCCCGATGACACCTGTGTCAATATGATAACTTCCCTCCTTCACACTTTTTACTGCAACCCGCTGTTAGCGGGCTGCAGCGCACCACACCAGAACCTTAACGTACCTAGAACCATAACGTCAACGCCCTTAATCGCCCGTCGCAATAGCTTCGTAGCCGCGCGTAAGCGCTATAAGCACCTAACCTAGGCCTAAATCGCTAGTTTAGAACCCTTCCCCCCCCTCTACCTCTATTAAGCTATTATATCTATACCCTTAGGTGCTTACTATAGTGGAATTAATACCCCCTAATAGCTCTAAAGGGATAGAGCGTATAATAATTACTATTAGAATATAGAAGCTATTCTAATTATTTAATACCTATTAGTAAGCTTACTAGATAATTATAGTATATCTTAACTAGTTAGTTAAAACTTATAGGGGATCTCTATAAAAAGTACTTAGTAGTATTATATAGAAATTTATTACTTATATCTAGTAAATAGTTACCCTTAAGCTTTCCTAGGGTAATATAGTTATAAAAACCTCTCCTTAAGGCTAAAATAATATTATATCTCCCTCTAAGATAACCCCTATTAGATAAAATATAGTAACTAGCTTAGCTTAGTTATATAGTATTTAGAAACTTTATACCTTATTAAAGCCTACTATAAACTACTATCTACTCCTATAGGCTTTAGAAATTTTAATATAAGCTTATGAGGCCCTACTATACGCCCTCTAGAGCAGAATTACTAAGGCTTTAAACTTCCCCTTAGTAGATATTATTTATATCTTATATACTACCTTAGGCTATATTATTATTCTACGCTTAGCTTCTATAAAAAAAGCCCTTCTTAAGTGAGTAGAGGAGATTTATAAGGCTATAGGTATATAATTACTTAATCTCCCCTAGAAATAGTATAAATACCTTATTAACTAGGTACTTATAGAAATCCCTAACTACCTAGATAACCCTACTATAGTTAAGACTAATATCTATAAATATATAGGGCTGTACTTAGTTTAAGCCTACTTTATATAGAAGGGTGTAAACCCTATTACTTAAACCTAATCTTAAATTATTATCCTACTCTAACTCTATAAAGGCACTAAATAGCACTTTTTTTATAAGTCTACTTATACCTACTTTCTACTAGAGAAGAAATAGGTTTCTATACTTTACTCTAATAGGTACTAAAGGTATTATATTAGCTACTTTTATATTAGAACTTACTACTATAGCTAGTATAGCTAAATAGACTATACTAGTATTAATACTACTTTAACCTACTCTAATAACCTTAAGTACTTAAACTACTATAGGGCCTTCTTTACGAACTATAGTGATTATACTGCTTACCCTATCCTAAAAGATAGTATTTAGGCTATACCTTTAAAGTACTAACTATAGAAGATTTAGTAGACTACTTATAGTGTGTTATTTACGCTTAGGCTTAATAGCTCTTTCTATAACCTACTTTTAGGTACCCCTACTTCTCTAGCTTAGCCTAAAATAGCTTAATTAATAATTATTACTAGTAGTATAATACTATTAGACTATAAAATAGCTAATACTACCTAAACTACTATAGAGGATAACCCCTTTATCTTAAACTCCTCTTTAGAAAACTTTAAACTTAAAGATACTAAAACTAAAATATTAAATATACCTCTTACTCCTTATTCCTATTAGAAATAAGTTTATACTATTAAGTCTAGTAGTACTATTTATATTATAACTTACTAGAAGGATATAAAGTAAGAAGCCTTTAAAGAAAGCTTAAAAAATAGTAGTTTATTATAGTTTAACTTCTTTAAACCTAAGAAGCTTATAATACTATAGGCTTTAGTTTCTTACCCCCCCTATAGCTCTATTTAAAGTGCTACTTTATACTCTAAAGAACTAAGTTATTATAATAATATATAGTAAATCCCCCCCTTTAAGGATAATACTTTATTTTAGGTAAGTCTAAAGATATTACACTAGAGGCTTATATATTATATAGTATAATATTAAGTATAGAAACCTTATAAATTATATATTACTATAAAGCTATACTAAGAAGTATATTAATATAGTCTTAGTATAAGAACCTTATATTAATAAAAAGAAGGGAAGGTTATTCCTTATAAACTACCCCTTTTATAAGGTATTCTACTTTATTAATACCTAGGAATACTATAACTTAAATATTATTCCTTAAGTAATTATATATATTAAGAAAAACTTAAAAGCTATTTAGATCTAACCTTATAAGACCTATAACCTTATTTAGATATAGATTTAAAGTATAACTATTCTAAACGTTTATAGGCCTAATATAGTAAATAATAATACTACTACCTATATTTTTTAGTACTCTATCCCCTCTTATTTCTTTACTAGTAGTAATTAGAATACTATAAACCCCTCTTAAGCTTTTAGCGTAAGAATTACTAATAGTAGATTAAAAATTAAGACTTAAGTAAATTAAAATAGTTTTTCCCTTCTAAATAAGCTTAAAGTACTAATATATAATACTAGTTATATTATAGATCTATCTTAGTTTAATATTCTACTTACTTTAGTAGAGATAAATCCCTCTTTCTACCTTAAGGTAGATTATAAAGCTATTTTAGTTTATATCCTTATCCTTTTAGCTTTAGAACTAAGCCTTTTAGCTTAAGTATAGATACTAAATAGTAAACTTAAGTAATTTACTACCCTCTATAAATAAAACCTACCCTCTATTATTACTTTAGATATAATACTAATATAATATAATACTACTACTTAATCTATCCTCTATTACCTTTTATAAGTAATAGATATTATAACCTACTTACTCTAATATACCTTAAGCCTAGCTATCTTAGTTTAGTAGATACCTAAATACTAAGATACTAAATAAAGATTATATAAAGCTTAGTATACCTAATCTCTAAGTTATAAGTAATATTTATACCTCTTCTACCTCCTCTATAAAGAGGAGAAGCTTACTAATATAGAACTTTAATAAGCTATTTATACCTATAAAATAACTTAATACTATAGTAAAGTTAACTATATAGTAAATATCTTTAATCTTTATTATATAATAAAATAGTATTAAGTAAGGCTTAACTTCTATCTACTACCTCTTAAAATTAAGGATAAGGTAATTAAGTCTCTTATTATAAAAGTATAAACCTTTAGAAAGGCCTTATTTAAGTAGTTCTTAACTATAGATAATATTTAAAACCTAAATAGTATCTAAATTCCCCCTCACCTTAATATCTTATAGGATATTTCTATTTCTCTTATATAAGTAACTACTATAATACTTATTATAAGTATTATACTTAGAGTTAATAGTGTTACTATTTATATATTTTAAGCTACTTAGTTAGCTATAACTAAGCCTATTTAAGCTCTCTTTTAAGTTTACTTAACTTCTAGATACTATTTAGAGATTTTTAAAAAGGCTAAAATAGTTTTTATACTTAAAGGGGGGAAACCTCTAACTAAAGTTACTTTATACTATTTTATATCTTTACTCTCCTACTTTAGAAAAGGCTTTAAGTACTTATTTACTTAGTATACTATTTATATAGTATTACTAGCTTAAACTATTAGTACTTAATATTTTAAGGCCCTCTTTAGGCATAGTATAGTTAATTTTACTACTTATATAACTTATAAAATTAAAACTACTCTTAAAACTAATTTAGTTATTTCTTTTATTATACTTAATACTAAGGGTGCTTTTAACGCTATCCTCTATAACTACTTCCTTATTAAGCTATATAAATAAGAATAGCTAGAACCTTTTATCTGCTATATTAAGTTATTTATAACTAAATATTAAGCTTAAATTTATATTAAGGGTATTATTTTAGAACCCTTCCCCCTTTACTATAAGCTTCTTTAAAGCTCCCCTACCTCCCTTATTCTATACTTACTCTACTTTATAAAGCTTCTACTATAAAACCTTAATTTCTACTTTAGGTATACTAATAATATCTTAATATAAACTAAGTCCCCTTCTATAAAAGAGAATACTAAGCTACTTATAGCTAATATAACCTATATTTTATACTAAGGTACTAAAAATAAGGTCTTCTTTAAGCTAAAGAAGAGTAAAGCTATTTATATATTACAAAAATATAAGCTAATAAACCCTCTAATTAAGGCTAATAGCCTAATAATAACGCCTAAAGATACTATAAAGTAGCTTAAGGTTATTTTTAACTATAGGCTTATCTTTATACTATATATTTAGATTAAGGTAGATACTACTCTAAAGTACGCTAAATTCTTTTATAGCCTAAAGGTAGTTTATAGGGGTTTTCCTCCTACCTTTATATATAAAGCTATCTCTTTAATTATTATTCCTATTACTACTTATAGTATAGAAACCTAGTTTTCTAAACTTTAGAAACCTAATTATATCCCTACTTAGTAATACCTTAGTATTACTCTAATAAAACTTTTCTATTTAATAAACTAAAAAAGGTACTTCTAGTTTATTAATAAAGCGATTCTTACTAATATTTAGGGAGTTCTACCTATATAGTATACTACTCTTACTACTATACTATACTATAAATCTAAAATCCTTCCTATAAATATTATACTTAAAGTTTATTAACTCTGTTTTACTATAAAGTTTAGCTATTTTAACCCCTATTACCTACTAGTCTAACGCCTATATATTTACCCCTCTAACTCTTACTATAGACTTATATAGCTATAATGTACTACTATAATACTTCCCTACTACCCTTACTTAATTTTAGTGCTCTTATAACCTTTAAGCCCCTCTTATCCCCTAAAGAAGATAGCTACTACTAAATTTAAAGCTTAGCTTAAAGATATTCCTAAAAATAACGTTATTATATATACTAATAGATCTAAACTTAAGTTTAGGGATATTAGTTATAGTTATATTATATTCTTAGGCGAAAAAGAAGAGAAGAAGAAAGCTAAAATGCCTTTTATATAAAGCTCTTAGCGCCTAAGCTTTACTAAAGTTTTTAATACTAAAGTTAAAGCTATAAACCTCAGGCTTTATATAGCGATATAGTTATAGAACTTAATAAGCGTAATTTATATTTATATTAATAACTTTAGTATTATTAATACCCTAGAGGGATATAGTAATATACCTTTATC